GCTGTTGTTGCAAGGCGTGCTAAGACCGTGAGAAAATATTGCTAAACCCCCATAGCCAAAAGCAGTCGTCCGCCCCCCCGGCAAGCCACCGTCGCACGTTGTCATTTGTTTCTTTCCCGCGCTTCCCGCGATTCCCGCCATTCCCGGGCAAGGGGCAATGGACGCCACGTAGCCTCAGCATCTGAGTGCATCTTAAAGCCCCGAGGGTACATACATTAGTTGTTTCAAATCTCCAGCACAGCTAAGGGCTGAACGGACGCAATTTTGGGGGCACGTCATGCAACGTGACCAGGATGATGGGTCTTCACTAAGCGTAACCATAGCGTACGTATTACGTAATATATATACACCCAATATAGCACGTTTTTCAGTGAAGAGACGGTGAAGCTTTGACCTATCGCATGCTAAAACTGACTGACTGAGTAAAAACTGTCTGACTGACTGAACGGCTAAAACTAACCGACTAAAAACTGACTGACTGAGACTTAACTGCCTGAGTTAACTGTTTGACTCCATACTTGATTCAAGTTCGATGGAATTCGTCGCAATCCTAACCACAATCTGATAGCTGTCTAAGAAACCCTCATAGATGCATCATTTTAACATTTTGTTGTCGCATCAGATTGGACAATTCCCCAGCAATTGCCTTTGCTGACAGTCACTGCCTGCCTTTTTGACCTGTCATAGGTCAACGACCTGACGATGTACATGTATCTTTCTATAGCTAAAGATCCTTTATTCAATTGCCTATAGCTATGCAAAGCTTTGTTAATGCAGCTGGATGTTTAACCTCCCCATAGACAGGCATGCTTGTCGTTTATACATAGCTGTCCACAGCGGCGCATTTTCGCGAAATGAGTTTGGGGAGGGGGGAGGGCGGCTGAACAGTAAAAAAGGCGAAGCCTGCCTCAAAACATGCCAACATACAGGTTTCTCCACGGATTTTGCCGGTTTTCTTCCCAAAGTTGGAAAACGGGACTGAAGCCTCCCTCCCCCCTCCAACTGAACAGGGTACTACACCCTGGCTGCGTATCTGCCAACGCTAGGAACGGCTTCGCTACGCTGGCCGGAAATCATCATGGAAAACCTTCGGAGGGGAGGGATCAGTCTGACTCCTCACCCCTGCCGCGTGTTAATCATAAGTAGGCATGTGACGATCCTTTTAAAGGCACATGCGTTTTCTACACCACATTTACAGTAAAGTCATTCCAATCGCTGTTTGTGCAATGCATTTTAGGCATCAACCGGTTTGGTTTTAGCTTAAATTCCGTACAAATATTAGTTAATGTAACTCGGTGACGTCGAGGCAAAAATTTTAGCTGAAAATGCAGTGGGGCGCCAAAATGTGACCAAAATTTTCGCGCGCAGTTCGCTTGCCACGGAAAATCTTAGCTTTGAAAAAGTATGTTTCTCGTCTATGGCTCTGCGCCTACCAACACGAGAACCTTCCCTCCCCTAGAACCTTCTCTCCCCTCAAAATAAAATCGTGGCTGCTCGCACCACCAGATGAAAATAATAAGTGCTGAGCTGACAAACGGTGCATTAAGCTTTACACACCTGGAGTCATCAGACATCCAAGGGGTTGTAAGGTTAAAGTGAAAAGCTCTGAAGTACGGGGATGACCTAAGTCCTTCACGATTAACCTATTGACGTCCCCCGTCAACCAAAATACGTGCCGCCTCCCATGGTTGCCACAGAAGTGCGCTGCCGTCACCCTAGGACGGCCTCTTTACTTACTGATCGGAAGAGGCACGTGCGTCCAGTGCCTGCTCCTTGGATCCACCTCTGCATGATGGCTATTCTGCATACATCAAAATGACGTTCCACTTAAATTGAAGAATATGATAACCTTATCTTGTAATCTCGTCCAGTTAGGGCCTAGTGATTGAAATATTATCTTGTGCTAACCAGGGATCGAGTTACCATGTCCCATACTGATACGGATCTCATGGTCACTAACAGGAAAAAGTCGTACCGCAATAAGCAGTAGCTTGAGGCTGGATTGCCGTTGACTGCGTTTCCGTAACGCAATAAGCAGCAGTCCGAAGCTGTTAGCCATTGACCACGCCCTGTGCTGGCACAAAACTCTGTGCCCAACCAGAAACCTTTCGCATACCCAAAGATGACTGACCATATCTTACGTTTGCCCGGAAATGGAAGCGGCGAGCTGCGCTGTAGCCCGTCACGGAACATGGCCACCGAGTCCTGTGTTGAACTGATCGACTGGACAATCATGCCAACAGTCGCTGTGTCTTCATGTTGGCACAAAATATGAGTCAGCACGGTGATTTCCGGGTCAGCGCGATCATTCCCGGGTCAGTGCGGTCACTCCCGGGTCAGCAGTATCACTCCCGGGCCAATGCGGAGTTTTGGCCAACCAGCCCCGGGGTCGGCTTACTGCGGGGAGCTTTCACAGACCCTGCATTATATATGCGTGCTGTGCCGGTAGTGGAGAGGGGGCATTCGACCCCACTGTAGCGTTGTGCTGCCTCCCTCCCTCTCCCTTGGGATCCGCAGGGATTTTTTCACAGACTCCTCCAAGAAATTGGCATGCCCTCCCCTCCCTCTTAAGGACTGCGTACCACTGAGCATTGATTTTCCGTCCCTGAAGTCGAATTTTGGTGGCAGCTCTGACCTATATGCGCTCGCTCGGCTCCTATATCCTGGAAGATGTCCACAAACAACAGAATTGCCAGGGATGCAAGCCTCTGCTAGCGGAGGAGGTTTATAATAACATGACCGATTCGCGTAAAGCTAATTTTAGGGAATCCAAAAGCCAATAATTCAGATCCCCTATGATGCTCACCGTGACGCACACTTGTCGTCCGTGCCCTAGTGTTCCGCACGCAAGTTTTTCATCTAGGATACCAAAATCTCCCTCTCCGCGATAATTTTGGGCTACCATATAGTTACAGTTCCGACGCAGCAAGGACGGAGGTGATCTATATTGTTTACAAATACACACGCTCAGCATTCGCAAGCGCGAACGTGCACGTTGCCGGCGGGGGTCCAAGCGGTTCAAGGTATGTTAGTCTGAGGGGTTTTGAGTAAATGAAGTTAATTATTATTGCAAAGCGGTGGTATTTGAAATTCCTACCGATAGAGAGGCACGCATCCTTTGTTATTCATTTGATCCGTAGCCTCACGGTGCATGTTTGACGTGAAGCATGCTGAAACACGCTGTGGTGCTGTGCCAGCGTTGTAAATTGGTATGGTCCAATGTAAGACAGGTGGTCTGGATAACTGAAAATGGTATATCAGCATCGTGTAGTTCGTGGAACAATAAGCAGCCTGGTTTTAGGGTATGAATGTGCCTATACCTCTGAAGGAGGTAATTGCTACTCACTGTGTTTTCATGGAGCAAGATGTTACGGACTCACAAGGATTCATAGCATCCATTCTGACTTCATTCCTCAGTGGGCTGGTTTGGGCTAGTATGATAAGTTATCATCTTAACTTTTCTTGAACAGGTCTTGTCATTTGGAGGCCCTTTAAGGTAATAACATAACATACCAGTCTGAAACTTGCTGGAATAGTATAACAGCTTTCTACCAACCAACATCTTAACTTGCTAAAACCAACTTTACTTCTTGGACTCCATTTGAGGCATTAGAATGAAGGATGAAGTGGATGCTCCTTAATTATTTGCCTGCCCAGCTGGACATTTGCATAAAAGAGAAAAATCATGACCATCAATTTACCATAAATCCCCCAGATGTTGCATGGCTTCCCTGCCTTGTTTTTGCTGTCATAGCAATCTAGTAATTCCTATCTTAATTACCATAATTTCCCAAGCATATGGAAGCATTTCTTTGGAAAATGGGTATTACGTTTAATGACTGATTAAATGTCTGACTTTAGGTCAGATCATGTCACAAGACCTGCTATGACCTTGAGTCATTTAAAAGTAGCACATCTGGCACCACACAAATGAGTGTTCATGACATATGATATTGAATTATGAATCAACACTATGTTTGGGCCATAAATCCGCTGTTTCTTCTGTGGTATGGTAGGTGCGCAACAGGACTTTTTCTCAGTTAATCTCACCCAAATCGTAGCCAGGTACCTGCTGACTGGAAACGGCATCAGGGACACCATTGTTCACCTTTCGCTTCTGAGCAAGACACTAGATATGTTCTAACGGATCAAGTTGGAGTGGATATTTCTGAAAAAGGACGTCAATCGACATCAAAGCGAAGCGAACAGCACTGGTCTTGTCACGCCAGGAAAAAAATCTGTGCTGTCGGCTAGACCCTGAATCATTTCCCTCGGTCCATTGGTCCATTGGTTCAAGAGCTGTTGTCAGACACACGTTTCCCCAGTAACTCGAAGGGGGCAACTACCACAACCATTGTCATGAGGTTATGACGCACGTTGGAGGAGACCGAAGGATATCTGACGAATGATACACGGGATTCTCACTAGCGAGAAACAACCGCTAATAGTTATGTCGAAACCCAGGGCGTCGTGATCACCAGACTTCGTGTCGAGGGCTAGTCCCTGTTTTTATGCAATGCTGAACATGGTTGTGAACAAAGCGGAGCTTGTTCGGATTCCACACCCCTCGCTATGGCCGTTGTGGCCGTCATTCGGCCGATGACCGTCATTCGGCCATCGGTCATCATTCGATGACCTCGGATGATGTCCCTCTACTTGCGCGATATAAAGGGGATGTAATCTGAATGGGATCGGCGTCACGGTGTGAACATACCGAACTCACGCAGACGTTATCCGAAATGCGATTTGCTTTGGTCGACCTAATTTGCTAGGTTAACCGTAGCTGATAACGCGAATGAAGCATGTTGATTTAGAGTCGCAGGTAAAGTTGCCGTCCATGTTTGTGCTCAAGCACATCGGTTGTGAGCGCGGTCTTGTCTGGAGCAGCTGGGACAAGGTGTGACTTGCTGTGACATTACGTGTGCCTTTCCACCTGGCGCTTGGCCTAATAGCGACATTGTGTTCTCGGAATACCTTCCCAGGGTGCACGAGACCGTCACCAACGACGCAGTCCGCTGCAATGTGTGGACGAACTGCTTGGTAAGATTTGTCCCTTGTTAATTTATTCGTCAGCTGTGATAAATGCATTGCGAAAGCTTAGCTTGAGGTTATTTTGCCAGAACCTCGGACGCATTAGATATGTCAGAATGGTTCCATAGGCTGTATAATGAAGCCATGTGAACGGCTTGTCATTCTCTCGTGATGGGTCTCTTCGTACCGTGTTCTATATACATCCTAGCGTTTAAATTCGCTGCTGTCTTTCGGTGAAACACGATTGAACGTAGATATGCATCAGGCTATATTTACCGATGTCCTCAGCACGCTGCAGCCTGACAGAGTGCGCAGCGCCTGCGGCTATGTCCCGGAAGCGGAGCAGAAGGGAGGCGGCGGCGGGAAATTCCGCAAAGCTCGCTGGGTGGACCAGCCGGGATCAAAGGCGTATCACCCATCTTATAATATTGCTCCTACGGGTATGCCCCATGTTTTCGATAATGAGTGTAATCCAATAGAGGTCGGTGACGAAGGACTTTTCCTGTGGCATACGCATTTAATATCGGAGGGCTTTGTAAGTTGCGCAGCTTGTGACCATGCCGTTATTGAATTAATATGTTTCGTTGTTACCTTTTTGCCACTATTTTCCCGATGGATTCGGCCCATTGCTCAGTGGTCCTCAAATTGTTGAGAAGCTTGCTTTCCGAAACTGGGCGGGGACTTCATGGTCTCATAATTTTTGTTCAATGGCAAGGAGGATTCTTTCAAACGCTTCATTCCACAAATCATATAGGAGGTCGTTTTGCGCACACTCAGTGGCGGCCCTAGCAGCAGGCCTGGGTCCCGTCACCCCAGCCTTTCCGCTCATCGGGCGGTGCGCTGAAGGCGACGTGTGTCTGTTTCAGGCACGCTGCCGGTGCTGATCCGGGGACAGCACGCCGGCTGTGCCGACGACGAGCGCGTGGTGATGCCGATGCGATGGGGCCTGGTGCCCTTCTTCCACAAGGTGCGGCGATTGCCGTTGCTTGCCTGTCTGGTGTTGATAACACGCGATAAGGGAAATGCTGGTGTGTATTTTCCACGCAGAATGCGTCCAGATATTAGGTCCCATAAAGGTGGCATACCCTAGATAAAGCTCCAGGTAGAGTTAATTGTTGTATGTGCGGATGGTTATGGGACTATGGCCACGGTGCCGTAGTTGATGCTCTTAAGCAGACTCTTGCTGGACTGGGAATAGGCAATTTCATTCCAGGAGATGATAATGCAAGGCGTAAAGCATGACAATAATGCATCTGCAGGGACAGGTGGCAGACATGAAGCTTTCGACGTTCAACGCTCGCTCTGAAGAGTTCCTGAAGAAGTCCATGTTTTCCCACCCCTTCAAGAAAGGTCAAAGGTATAGTTTGCGTGTCATTTTCTATTTGGAACTCACTGGATGCTGTATCACTATATCACATTGTATCACTTATCACCGCATGGTCTTTTGCGATGATCTAATGTTGGTGGTTGTATACAACTCTAACCTCATCTGGTGGTGAAGAACTTTGACCTATGGAAGTTTTAATCAGTCTTATCATGTTTTGGAATCAAACTAATGGGCTGGTGCTTACCTAACTACGTGCGATTTTCAGATGCGTCGTTGTTTGTGATGGCTATTACGAGTGGAAAAAGGACGGAGCTGGTAAAAAGCCGTACTTCTTGTACAGTGAACAACGCAAAGATGTAAGTAACAAGTAGGCTTTAACCCAGCTAACTATTTTATACTTCGTGTTTTCTTGGTACCACATGACCCGATCGGGAGGGGGAGGGGGAATGGATTAGCTCGACAACATTATATTAGGTCAAATCATTGCCTAATGGAACATTGTGGAGCATAGCATACTTCCGTTAGAACTGCAAGGTTGCGAACTTTTGGCATATGTTGCCCAGAGTCCCGCTGGCGGTCAAATTGGAACGAAACGCGGTCAACTGGAATGCGTTGCTGTCGCAGACGGTACGACATTCAGCAGCCAACTGTGTGGCCGGGTGACACTGGCCGCGCACCAGGGTAGTGCACCAATGATTTTTTGATCGCTCGTCTCTGCGCTACTGGGCAGTCTCTTCTAGTTTGTTAAGCCGCCCCCGCCCCCCTCGTCCTGCCTCGGGGAAGAAAACCTCGTGTGATCACGTCATTCAATGCCACAAAATCAATCTAGCATTGTTCAAAAACTTAAAAACACCGAAAGTGCTCAACCCCACGCATTTTTTTGCTGAGGATGGTATTTTGTGGCTGAAAAATAAGCCGTTTTGTACAAGCTCAAACTTGCCCAATTTCGTCTACAGTAGTATGAATACGTGCCCACACACGTGACAGTGATATATGCATCGGATAAACTCACCATTGGCTTGTAATAACGTGTAGCGTTTAAGTATAGTTTCTTTAACTAGACACGAATTTCAGTGGGACATTTGCACCAATGTGAACAGCCTGGATGAAGATGACCTGTGGAGTGAGGCCGAGGGATGGAAGGGGCCAAAGCTCACAATGATGGCTGGCATATTTGAGTCATGGAAATCGGTAAGTCATTCTCCTGTGACAATTTGGTATGAAAGTTTCGCCTTTTTTGAAAAAAATCGTTATGAAAGGCTTCTGCCTTTGGACTTGTCCTGTACTCGAGAAAGAAACTGGTAGCTTCCCATTTCCGTAGTTTCATTTTGTTTGACGCGGTCTGTTAACGACTTTCGGCGTTGTCTTTTGTAAGCTGTGATTCTAAGCGTCGCACGCCGTGAGTTTCGCGCACGAACAGCATCACGATGTGATTGTGGTTTCAGGACGGTGACCAGCCGCTCTACAGCTTTACCATCCTGACCCAGGCGGCCAACTCGCGCCTGGATTGGCTTCACTCGAGGATGCCGGTGTTCCTCGTCACGCCGGAGGCGGTGCGGGACTGGCTGTCGGTTGGGGAGACGTCGGACGAGACGGCGCTGGCGCTGATCACACCTGCGGACTCGCTTGCCTGGCATCCTGTGTCCGCGGACATCAACAACGTACGCAACCAGGAGGTAACGAACAAGCCGCTGGACGAGACCAAGCGCTCGGCGTCGGCCGGCTTCATGGCCAACTGGCTGGGCAAGGCAGGCAAACGATCGGAGGGGCAGCAGGCGGCAAAGCCGCCGGCGGAACAGCGGGAGCAGGAGGCGAAGCCGGTGAACCTGCCAGCAGAGCGGCAGGAGCAGGAGGCGAAGCGGCCGGCGGAGCCGGGGGAGCCGGAGGAGCGGGACGTGGTACAGCAGGAGCAGGGGACGAAGCGACCGGTGGAGCAACAAGAGCAGGAGGCCAAGCGCAGCAAGCAGTGAACTGTCGTGGGCAGCGGGTAGAGCGGGGACTGGCTTCCCGAAGAGGACTGTCGGAAGTGACGCGTCGGGACGTGTGCCATACCTATGGCATATCGTCCGTTCTTTGTTCAAGGAAACGCCGTTACAGCAGCTTAGAGTCAGACGTTAGCGCAGTGAGGGCTGTCACAGGTTCCAGCATAGGGCATACCATATGATCATCGTTCAGACAAATACTGGGGCTGCACCGCACTCAAACTGAAGCGTAGTGCGGCGGCCATTCTCCACTATCAGCATCGTTGAGTCCTGTGTCGCCATTTTATTATGTTGTTTTTTCGCCAAGCGAATGTTAGCGTTTCCTGTTTGTAGCGCTTTTCTGCTAAACTACGACGGAAGTGACGCGTAGTTTAGCAGAAATATTTTGTCCATATTTTTGGAAGAATAGACAGCAGCTGCGGCGGCCTGACGGATGAGAGGAATTTGTGAGATGCGCGGCAGTGTGGGACGTGTTGGCCATTGGTGCTGACATTTCGTTCCCGGATCGTGGATCACTTAGTTTTAAGTAATTTGTAAACGACCCAGGAATGCCACTACTCCGATCTACGGGCGGGCCCCCTTGATAACAGTGACATGCCCGGAACGGCCCGCGTTTCTCGAGCGCGGTGACATACATGAAGTATCCTTTCACCGGCTTAGATACCGTGGCTGTCTACGCCCGGTGGAAAAGGCGAAATAGCCTCACTCTGATCCGCATGAATGCATTTATTAAACCCCGCAAACTACATGCACACCATCCAATGGCGTACCGTCGTCTGGCGCATGACGCATGATGCCGGATGACTGCAGGGAGACTAGCAGCGCTTCAGGTGACTTTCAGACGCATTCGCCGGGTAGTCGGGATGCTTTGAAGTTGAGTTGTTGTTTTAAGTGACAAATGCTGACGCAAAGTTACTCGTTTCACCATTTTTTTCTTTTTTTAGGACAACCTTGAGGTATAAGCCTCGTCCGATTGGTCTTCATAATTTAGCAACAACGCAACCACTCGCAAGTGTCTCACGTCATGTTTTGACTTGATAAAAACGACGATATTCCTTCTGGCTTTTCATTGCTAACCTTCACTGACTATAGCCAAGGCGATGACAATATTCCAGCAGACCAACCTGATCAGATGGAGGATTTCATAAAGCATTGTGTGGTGTTTGAAGGTTCATCCCACTGACCGCAAGTATCGGCCATGAACTGAATGTCTACTTAAAGTCGCACAGGTCGCGGTGGTGAGAGAATACAAGCGTCGGCTTCGAACCTAAATTGCGGCAATCGCTATCACTGACAGGTGAAAATATTTCGTTTAAATCTAAGGCACAACCTTTTGCTTGCTGTCGCGTTCTGACGAGACGTTTCCAAATTGCGACGAGGACATTGACGTTAAGTCTTTAACACAAATTAACAGAACTGAAACCAATTGAGACAAAACATAAGTACCTCATTACCGGGGTTGTAGTTTCCTATTCAGTTGAGAAGAGGGGCCAAAGCCCCCCCCCCCCCCGAACTTGGGCACCAGCCTCCTAACTTTGAGAAGAAAATGGGCCAAACCCAGCAAGAAACCTGTTTCTAAACCTGTTGGCATATTTTAAGGGTAGGTTTGTAATTTTTCATTGTTCATCCTCCCCCAACCCAATCATCAAGCAGCCAATCGACTTATGTTGTGAAACTACACCCCTGCTCAGTACCGTAGCGGACAAGCAGTTTGACGCCAACACAAGCATCAGGCGAAAAACTTAAGCGCGAGCAACCCAGCCAGCTGGGGTTTAGACGACAAGGCATACCAAGTTATTTAGCGTCGCCATATCACGTCAGTCACGGTACAGAACGCGGTCACGGCCAATCGCGGTACAGTACCATATGATAATAGGTTGCGGATTTAAGCCTTTACCATTGTGAAGTCAGTCTACCGCTGAGGCGCGGTATCCACACCGCGCGGAACACACATTGCGGGCCTGGTTCGGGGAAATGAGTGCACCTCTTGGGCTGGTTGGTTATTGAAATAACAGACGTCAGGTACAAATGCACTACACGAATGGGGACTTCTCGGTGTTTTGGTCGCGCAACTGCCTACTTGTCAGTTTTCCAAAAAAGTGTGAATACACAACGCAGTATCATTTATTACAAAAAACTTGCCAGCATATCAACATACCAAAAGCATCATAAGCCTTTGCGATCTCTCCAATCGCAATCTACAATCTGCGGAGGACAAGGCACACAAAATCACGTCGCGTCCAGTTTCACCGTTTTACTCGTCGCTAGTGCCGACATAAAGTCCGCGGGTACGGCGGCCTCCGCAAAGCGAGCCAGGTCCTCGTCATCGCTGCTGTCGGAGCTGCCGTCACCTGGCGCCGCAGCAGCTCCGGTCTCACTCTGAGGCGACGACTGCGCCCCCAAGGCCGAGCCCGAGGCGTCTGGTGGCGCCGCCCGGCCGTCGCCGGCGGTCGGCCGCCGCTCGCAGCGGCTCTTCTTCTTCAGCTGGTACTTCTGCAGATCGACGCCAGCCAGCCGGGGCCGCTTGGGCGCCGGCTCAGGCGCGGCCTCGTCGGCCACCTGCAGCGGTGGCGCCCCCGAGAACAGCTGAACACTGCCCTCCACCGGCACTGGCCGAAGATGCTTGCACCTGTCCTTCTCCTTAATCATGCACTCCACCACCTGGTCCAGCTTTTTCCCGACGAACTCGCGGAACTCCGGAGTCGTATCCAGGTCTCTCCAGTCGCTGTCCGTCGATGAGCTCATCTCCAGTGTCGAAGTTCTCACTATAGCATTTTTACAGGAAGGAGATAGCCTGCAAAATTGCCAAGTGATGTGGGATAGAAATGATCAAATTGCAGATAATTACAAGATGAGGCAAAATGATAGTACTTGCTGTCTTTGCCATGAAATTTTGCACCTTAAATGTATCATCTTGCACATTAAATGTATTGTATTGCACATTACTCTTGCACATTGCTTCATTGTACATTACTCTTGAGCATAAATTAAATGCATTGCACATTACTCTTGAACATTAAATGTATCATCTTTGCTCACAGTACTGACAATCATCATAATCCCATTCAAAAGATTAAGAAAATCACACTTAACCTTTGGAAACATCCATATAATATTAAACGTTCCTGTTCAAAACACGTGCAACAGAAACCACAACATAACATCACACCGCAACATTTTGACCCTCACTTTGCATAAAACAAGGTGAAAAACATAGTTCCAGTAAGCCTTAAACAATAAGAAATGGCAATCAGCATATTTCAACGTTTGCACTTTCTGCCCTGATGATGGTGCAATACCACTTCAATCTTTCAATGACCGATGACCTGTCCAAATTAACCAATCTTTCTACTAAATACATCATAGGGCACATAACCCCGACCAAACCATAGAAGCAGCTTACCTGTTGCCAACCCGCGCGCTCCTACGGCGTGACTATACTCATACAGTCCGACTTCGTGTGAGGAGCACAGAGCCACTGTTAAAAAGCCAGCAACAGCCACGTTAACCATCCACCACCTTCACAATTCCGGTAGCTGCACTGCATGTCAGCCTTACGCTTATTTCAGAAATAGCAAAGGCAAGGTCCACAGCTGATGATATGGTAGCACTTACTAGGTATGACGTACGAGGTAGATTTAAACCTTGGTCAAGAAAGCTCATTTAATGTCTGAGATATATTTTTCATCTAATTCTCTAAAAAGTTATCACATTTTTTTGATTTAGTTGCTTTCATAAAACCGATCATATTGGTGTTTCAGAGTTCAATAATTCTGTCTAATTTGACGTCATCGTAAACAAGAGAGCTACCATCTCATGGCTAGCTTATCCCGTTGTGTTGGTTGCAGAACATGGCGCAGTAGCTTCAATAAACGCACACATATTGGACGGTGCGGGTGAAGTTCATCAAAAAATGTGGTATTAGGCTATAGGGGTGGTCTGTGCGGCCCATGAGACATTGATATTGGCCGAACTTGCAAGATCGTGCTCGTGTATGCCGTCAAGAGGCAGCTGGATATTACCTGAAGTAGAGTTAGGTAACTGGCGGCAAATTTGTCCAGTTTGTTGGTTGGGATAAGTGGGATTGGGTGGTGACTGGGTGGGATGAGTGGGAGATGGGTTTCATGGATTTTTTTATGATTTGAGGATCATAGGTTGGTGCCTGATTTTAGTAGGAATTTGAATTCCAGAATTGACCGAATTTTCATTCAGTCAGATCGGACTTTGTTCATGAAATTGTCACAAGAGGTGTGTGTGTGTTTGTGTGCGTTAAGAGTCAGACTTAGTCAATCAGGCCCAGACTGCAAAAATTTATCTATGGTGCAGGATGGCTCTGCAAATGGCGCAGGTAGCATCTTTCTGGCATGAGCTTAACTCAGGTCAGAACAATTTGTGCTGTATATTCAATCCTTTTCTTTAAAACAAGCATTTTGAGCATGTTTGTCTGAAGCTCAGAGTGCTCAAGTTCACAGCATATACATTATGAAATGGTTGCTGATGTGCTGCCACTACACCAGACATTCAACATTTCATGGATTTCTTAGTCTGGAAACAAGTCACCTCAGAGTCCTCAAATACAGGAATTAAACTTAATTTATGTTTTATAGTGGGGCAGCCAATGCATGCATAAAATAAACCTTAAAAATAAGTTATTCTAGGAAATAAAATCAACTGATAATTGCCTGGGGGCTAATAAGTTTGTGTTATTCTTAAGTTGTGTTATTATTGTGGTGATTATTGTTTATTATTATTATTATTTTGTTATTATTACTGTGTTATTCTTAAGTTAAGTCTTTGTGTTATTCTTAAGTTGCCTGTGTATCAAGCTAATGTGCCCATCTGTATCTTGATCACATCTTAGTAGAATCAATTCTGTTGAAATCAATGCTGAATGTAAACTTCATCTCCTTGAGCTAAATCATATCTGCTTCAAAGGTTTGTGTTTCAGCTGGTAGCCAAATTGATGCTTAATTTTGCATGATGTGAATCAAAAGATAAGGAGTTCTGGGTGCACAAGGACCATCACAGTTGGCATCCCATAAACTAATCACCATCAGCAATAAGTTTTATAATCACCACAATGATTTTCATTGTAGTCTTCTATCCAATGGAAAAAAAGGCATAAGTGCCACCAGGTGAATTGTCTAGCAGAAAATTTTTTAGGTTTCAGCAAATCACATGCTTTTGTGCCCAGAAAAATAAATTCATACCAATTTTGAATGGATATCTTTTCAAACTTTGACTTAACACCACAAAATAAGTTATTCAAGCTGTATCAAAGGATGGATATAATCCCATTTTTAAAAAAATGATGCTCAGGCCTGTTTACTTTTGGATGTCAGATGAGGAATCAAACACATGTTGAATAACAGGCCCTCCAAAAGGACACTCATTGATGCTGCATTACAGCTTAGAAATACTGAGGTAAAAAATCCACCCACTGTCCATGAAGTTGAGAACAAGGGAGAGTGTTGTTTGTTGTGATGAACCTGATATGCTGAATACCAAGTTGACAGAGTAGGATGATGAACCTGATAGGCTGGATACAAAGATGACAGATTAAAAAATTATATAGATGTACAAGCTCTGCCAGATGTGACAACATCTTGCAAGTCAGTGGGTTTCCCAAACTAGAAGTGCCAAACCATTTTGATGAAGCCCCTTCCCAAGTGAGCTCTGTGCCTTCTGTGCTATATTAGGCATGAGTGATATCACATCCTGTGCAAAAAAGTGATAACCTGCCTCTGTGCTGGTTTCCCATCTGCAGTAGGTGCGGTCAGCAAGCCAGTTTCAGGATGCCGACAGTGATTGGGCTGGATGTGTCTCTGTCAATGAGTCAGCTGGTTCCCCAACCGGATCGTACGGAGGACCCACCCACAGTTCGTCAGCTGGCAATCAAAGGCATTCATGCTCTGCTGAATCACATTCACCACAACTGCAAACTGGAGTTTGCTGCAGTGGTAAGCAGTAAAAGACGGTAGAAGACAACCCTGCACCTGCAGGGTTGTCTTTGTACTGAATGACATGACCTGCCCAGGTGTGACCTTCATTGCAGTTGATGTAGAATAACTCATGTGATTTGTTGCATATTATGGCCTTGAAAATGTAGATTTCGGAAACCAGAGGGACAGAGTTTGATTTCCTACATTGCTTGCCATTTTACCAGTTTGAAAGACAGGCGATCCCATATGGCTTCGGCAGCTGAGCGCGTCATATAGCCCCATTCACAGCATAAGTGCAGGTATAGCATCATATTTGAGAGTGTGCATTAAGTTAAGTGCCACGTCATTAGACCTATGTCACTTGCTTGCATCGGCAGGCAGTGTACAGCTCCAGGTACGAGGTGCTGGGCTCGTTCACGCGCGACTTTGACCAGCTGAAGAGCCAGCTGTCCTCGTTGGCCGAGTACGACAAGTCCTGTGTCGAGACGGCGCTGCTCGGCGTCAATGCCGTGGTAGCCGAGGAGTGGGGCAGCGGCACTGCCTGCCAGGTCAGCTTGAGGTGGGGTTCAGTCGGTTCTGCCGCCCCGCAGGCCGGTCCGGCCGCCCCGCTCAGCCCGGACTGGGTGGACGCACCGGCCGCCCGCCTCACGCATGCTTCGATGTATCGATAATCTTCAACTGCACATCCATGTATCGATGTGTCACGAAATAATATTTGCATGAAATACATGACCGTTATTAGATGTCCTATTGCTCATGTTTGTTTTCTGTACACAATTTTCTCCGCTCCCTTCTGTCCGCCATCCACTCCATTTCTCCTACCGCGAGTGATTTTCGGACGTTTGTGCGCGGTCCGTGCTGGGTGACGGTGGCCAAAGGGCATGTGGGCTGACGCTGCCCCGCCTCTGCCAGGTGATCATCATCACGGACGGTAGCATGGGCGTGGGCGAATCGTCGCTGCGCCACCTGTCGGCCGGCGGCCGGCTGCCGCTGCCCTTCTCGTTCCCCTGTCGGCTGGACGTGGTGCTGCTGGGCGAGCGGGCCGAGCTGGAGCGCCGCGGCGCGCCGGCCGCCTTCCAGCGACTGGTCGAGCTCAGCGGTGGCGAGGGCGCGGTGCACACGCCCGAGCCGCCCCTCTCGGCCAAGGTGCGGAAGCGGCTGGACGTGTGACCGGCGCGACGGTCGTATACCACAGCGCTGGTCGAAAGCTGGCGCTCCGTACCGAGTTGGTGTGTGTGAGGCTTCCTATGGTAGTTACACTGAATATTATGAAGCTAACCGTACCGAACCTTATCATGCGCATTTGGGAAGCTCATGGGGACCGGTAAGGATGGAACGGTCCTGCTTAACGTGCAGTCGACGATGTTTAACTAGGTCCATGCTCGACCATGCCTGACTCGGTGTGGGATTTACAATTTTCAGCCCGGCATATATTTCTGCATTGTCAAACGTACCCTCACCGCCGACACCCCACGTGGTTGCCTCCGCCGTGCGGCCGGTTACAGCGGCGCCGCGTTGGTTTCAGTCGACGCTGGCGCTGTTCCGCAAGCTGGCCGAGACCAATTACGCGCCGTTCAGTGGCGTGCTGCACTGCGGCAGCCTGTCGTCGCCGGTGACGCTCTGTCCGCCGCCCCAGGTCAGGTCAGGTCAGGCACCGCCGCCAGGTGGCTGTGGCAGCGCCGATCGATACCCCAAACGGTCCTGCTCACGCTGTTTTAGTTGTGCGATTGGGCAAACCCGAGATCTTTGTGTTTGCCTTTTACGGATAACTTCGTTGAAACCTTCCCTTTCTTCCTCTTTCTTTCTCTTCCTTTTTGAACTTAGTTTTGTTGTGCAGTGACAAACAACGAACCTCCGAACGAGTCCGAAACAAATCAGTCGGGCCGTGTCCTATTCTCACCCGAGCGCGTCACTTTTGGTGCTCGATTGCATCCTCTCTTTCCCTATCTATGTATGCGTTCTTCCATCTCTTCTCTCCGTCCTCGACTGCGGTCTCCATCTGATGGCCACAGCTGCCTAGCGTTGCCAGTACCGCCCCCGCACTGCGCCTGAGGTGGTCCACCTTCCGCTGCTTCCGTCGATGACGAGCGGCCAATGCTGGCGCGTCAAGCCGGGTTTCATGGCCGGCGCGCAGACCCGGCCATTCACTGACACCCCCTCCCCCTCCCCACCCCTCTCCTCGGCGTCAGACCTACAACCGGATGCGCGACTTCGAGGCCGTGAAGCGGACCGTGTCGGCCGACCTGAAGATCTGCGGCTTCCTGTCGGTGGTGGATGTGGCCAGTCCGCCGGCCTACTCCCGACACCTGGTGCTGCCGGCGCCGGCAGGCAAGTGTTGGCGCGGCCGCCGCCGCCCGCGACCAAACGTCGCTAGAGTGGAGCAGCTGGAGCCGGCCGGGAGTGGCGCCACTCTTGGCTGGGAGTGGCGAGCCGTCTCCGCTGGGCGGGCTTTCTGGCGGCCCCATGGCGCGGCGTTTAATGGACGGTGTTGTCCTGTGACCTGTCACTGAACGTCTCACGTGACGGCTGTCTTCCTTTCCGGAACAGTCAGCCGACCCGCTCACATAGGCCAAGGTTAGGGGTTTAGGTCCATGTGGGAACCAGCTGACTCCCACGCGAAACTCAGCCAGCCGGCATGCATCAGTTCTGTCATTTTGTCATCAGCTAGGTGACCGAGTTTTGCGCACGTGTCCGAAACACCGTTGACAGCCTTGAGGTTAAGACTTACCACGCTTGGCGTATCCCCACGATTTGACAAGTCAGTGCCATGTGTGTTTAGACGCTCCTCGACGTGCTCGTGTTTTGTGGCATAAGCTGTCCTTGTACCCGGCTACACTTAGTGAGCTGTCGTGGAGTGGTATTGCGGTAGCGGCTTGGTCCACGAATCAGCACCGCCGCCCACCCCTAAACTCCCGGCCACCAGGGCAGCCGTTGTGACCTGGTGTCGCGTGTTGCGCGCAGACGCGGACGACGTGTCGGCGGTGCCCTGCTCGGAGGACGACGAGGCGGTCCGGACACCCTGCTTCTGTGTCCTGCTGCACGGCGGCCTCAAGGTCAGGTCACACAGGCCACCCCCGTGACCCGCGTCGGTGTGGGCACCGTCGCTGTGAAGTTAGGTGGTGGTGGTGGTGCCGCGGCACGTAGCCTGCTGCGCCGACAACGCTGGAGATGGACCCGGTTGTACCAGCAGGTGGCGGGCTTCGCGTCGCTTTCGATGCCCCCGGCCAGGCGTTCCAAGGTCGCCAGTATGCATGTTGGCTCAGCCCGTGTTAATGCCAGCATCAGGTCCAGGTCGCCTCATGTACAGCCGAGGCCATATGTCGTGTGGTGATCTATGTGCACGGTGCGGCTCTGGCCGCACACCTGTTTTTGGTGGCGGACTTACTCCGCTTTATCTGTGAGGCAAGTACGGACTCCGCGCTATCTGTGCAGCAAGTCCGTCACAGAGGCTCTAGCGGGTGATATGTGCAGTTGGTTCACGACACTAGAAGTCGTAATATTTCCTGAATCCCTCTGTGACGGACCACGAATCTTAGCCTGGTGGCCTCACACCGCTGTTGGTCTCCGGCCTCACAGCGTGAGAACGCAGCAGCCCTTGTCAACGTGGGTGATGACTGGTACGGCATCGTCTACTCCTGGGCTGACAGCAAGAAGAAGGCCAACCTCATGCTGTCGCTTTTCGAACCAGGTCAGTGCGTGTACTGGCGCTGTGCCCAGACTGCTCACCTCTGCCCGCGAGCTCCCGGTGATTCTGGAACAGAAGTACAGCCGCTCGGCATCGGACGAGATACATAGCGAGCGGGAGGGTTCTGTGACATCTTACACTCGGTCATTGCCGGGGTCAGCCCATCCCGCAGCAGACCGCCAGCCGCCCGCCACCCGTCCTCGCTCACCTTGCCCCGGCTTCCGCCTGTTACAGCCGCTCGCCGCTCGTGCTCGCTCACCTCGCCCCGTTTTCCGTCTGCTGCAGCCGCTCGTCCTCGCTCACCTCGCCCCGTCTTCCCACTGTGATAGCCGCTCGTCCTCGCTCACCTCGCCCCGTCTTCCCACTGTGATAGCCGCTCGTCCTCGCTCACCTCGCCCCGTGTTCCCACTGTGATAGCCGCTCGTCCTCGCTCACCTCACCCCGTGTTCCCACTGTGATAGCCGCTCGTCCTCGCTCACCTCACCCCGTGTTCCCACTGTGATAGCCGCTCGTCCTCACTCACCTCGCCCCCGTCTTCCCACTGTGATAGCCGCCTCGTCCTCGCTCCACCTCGCCCCGTGTTCCCACTGTGATAGCCGCTCGTCCTCGCTCACCTCACCCCGTCTTCCCACTGTGATAGCCGCCCGTCCTCGCTCACCTCGCCCCGTCTTTCCCCTGTTACAGCCGCTCGCCGCTCGTGCTGGTTCACCTCTCCACGTCTTCCCCCTGTGACAGCCACCCGCCGCTCGTGCCCGCTCGCCTCGCCCCATCTTCCCCTTTGGCTGACAGGGACGAGCGTGCTGCCGTGGCTGGGCGACTTCACGAACCTGGGGCCCGCCGCCGCCGGCGTCGCCTCGCCCTTCCCCATCAAAGTGTCGCGCAAGCGCAGCTATCAGCAGACGTGCGTCACCTGGATCAAGCAGTCGGGCCTGCATTCGGACGTGCAGAAGGTGCTGCGCCACGCCAGGAAACTGCCCGAGAAAACGCAGCACTTCTACAAGGCGAGTGGTCTCGGTCGGCGCCGTGGAGCCGGGCCGCGGGGCGTGTCTGCGCAGGTCTTTGCCATGTGTGTGTGTGGACGTCCCGCTGCGGTACCGCACGAGCCTCTGGTCCGGCTCGCGGTACAGTACCGCTGGTGCCGCTGGTCCGGCTCGCGACGTGGTGCCGTGTGTCGTCGGTGGGCTGACTGGGCGTTGCTGCTGGCACGTTCGCAATCTGTCACGGCACTTAAGTCTGTGAGAAGCCGCCCCGCTGTTGAGCAGCCAGTCAGCCAGGCGACAGACTGACCGGTGCGCTCGTCCCACCAGGAGCTGAACCGCGTGCGCAGCGCAGCGCTGGCGTTCGGCTTCCACGAGGCGCTGGAGAGCGTGGCGTGTATTCTGGAGCGCGAGTGCACGCTGCTGCCGGGCAACGCGCACCCGGACTGTGCACTGCAGCTGACGCACGCGGCCACGGCGCTGCGCCTCCCCGAGCACCGGCTGCCAGCCAAGCCGGTGCAGCCGCTCTGGACCCGCTTCCAGACCGACGGCTGAGGCCGCCGGCGGCCCAGCTGGAGACGGCCGGCTGGCAGCGTCCCCAGCACGACTGGAGAGGTGGGCCTGCGCGCGCTGAGCGGGGCCGCGGCAGGCCAGCGTTTGAGCCCCCTCATCCCTGCCCCGGACTGCACTGGCTACGTGCAGAGAAGGGTCAGATCGTACTGGAAACTGGCAGGGATTGTGCAGTCTTTTGAGAGCAGCGAGCCCCGCTCCCCCGCCGCTGTAGAGGCTGATGCGCTGAGAAGGCGCCTCAGACTGGAGCGGCCCTGTGGCTGCTGACCCCAGACAGGTACTGTGATTTCGAGCCGTGTCGTGCTCGCGCGCCTCTGACACACACGCCACTCCCGCCTGCGTGCTGTCGAAGAAGACTGAACATTGGACTCCTGCCACAATCATATCATGTCTATTCTGATGGGAACGTGTTGTCGGAGAACGTGCAGGGAAGGTATCCGGTGGTTGTCATAAAAGCGTGTCATTTTTCATTGCTGTGTTCATCCATCATTTGCAATAAAAGTACTGCTGACAGTCAGTTTGATTTCGCTCATTGTAGAAGCGCACAGTTCCATTGTGTTTTGTCCGGTTCGGTCTCTGGTATCTTTTTGAAAGGTGTCAAATACACACGTTTAGCAGCACATTCATAATTTAGAGGTTATGGCACAAAATGGATCATTATGTACCATTTATACTCCATTAACCTTAAATTTACCATTACAATACCATTACAATACAAAAAAACCATTAACCTTAAATTAAAAATAAATTAAAAACCATTAAAAATGTGAACTGTGGAGGTGCCGCGGCATCGGCTCATTTGGGAAAAGTTACCAAGGCAAACAGGATGGAAACGGAACCACACTGATGAGACTGGAGCTTACACACTGAGCTGAATACACTGATCGGCCCAGTCGTTACTTGCTCGATCCACTTTTCTCGCTGTCTCGTTTATCCTTGAGCTTGTTGAAGTACTCGAGCGCGAAGTCCAGTATGTCGGGCGGCTGGTGCAGCAGCACGTTCAGCGTGAACTCCAGCAGCACCTCCCGCAGCTGAGGAGGGGCCGCCTGCAGCTCCAGGCCCATGCGATCGGAGCTGCTCATCACCGGACTGTCGTGAAGTGAGACATCTTGGTCAGTCCACGTGTCGAGGGTTAGTCCATGGATGTATCTCATGAGTGTTTCAGCTTACTCCCACACGGCTATCCGCGTACATACGTGTGAAAGACACAGTCACAAGCGGCTTGCGTGATAAAAGATGGCTTTCAGAACTGGGCGCGAAACGTATGATTTCTGAATCTGACGCCGCGCGTCAGTGCTGCACGCCGTGTCTTAAATCTCTTATTTCACTTCCAACGTCCCTGACTGCTCGGAGAGAGACAACATGGTGGTGTGCGTATTATCGCGTTGCACATGTCTCATCAGGTGACATGCTCTCTGAAATTAGCCCCTGTCATTCGTCACGCTATCCTCTCGCTCGCTTTGTCCTGCGTCCTCGCGACAGCCCGCCCGACGGACGGAGGCAGCATGCGTCGACCATGAGCGGGCCGAGCGGCCCTATGGTGGGGGCCCCGTCCGAGCGTCATGCACACACCCCGCAGAGGGGTTGCTGTATATGAAAATCCTTGGCGAATGGAACCCCAGGTGCATATAGTCCTACCCCACCGTGGTCCATTCTCATTCATCCCATAATGCTGAAAGGACCACGACTGGCCGAAATGGCTGTAATCCAAATAACCAGGAACCAACGTGCTCTTTCCCACGGCGCAACAATATTCGATGTTAATTTGATGACTTCTTTTTTAAGGTTACCGATAGTGTAGTGGTTAAGCTGCGCGTGAGGGAAACCAGAGGTGCAGGGTTCGGCACCTTGAGGTGTGCGCCCCCTGCCAAGGTAAGGGACAGGCGACGCCAATGCCTTTAATGCTACGCGACGCCCCGTGGCCTCAGCAGTCGGGCGCGTTGGAAAACCCGAATGATGCATAGTACCTTTTTTACATGTGGCTTCGGTCCTTCTCACCTTTATTGTGTGCTGGTGCTGCTTTTCGGGCCGTAGGTTACTTTCTGATGAAACAATTTCAGAACTGATATAATCGTATATCTTCAGCGCTTTAGAAGGAAATCAATTTTGGAGCGAACAATGTTTCGGGCTCATAAGTGTTAATTAGAATACATACATTTTGACCTTTGACCGCAATTTAAAAGACAAGAAGTGTTTGAACACGTTGCGCAACCGAAGTTCTTAAAAATAATGTTCTTCCACGTGATTAATAAGTTGCCTTTCCTTTACTTTTTGGAGGCATTGACGCAGAGTGCTAGCAAAATTGCTGAATCGGCTACCTTTTTCACCCTTTTACGATTATGAATGCAAACCTGTAGTCTTCTCAATATGATACGTGATGCCGATCATCCACTGCATTTTGTCAGTCGTTCAGCATTTACTATCACGGACTCGCTGTTTCCCACCGAAATATTCTAGCGAGTAGCACATGCCAGTTAAATTCGGAGCGGCAATCCCTCCCGAGAAGGGCAGTGAAGCGTATAGGCCAGGCACATGGATAGTTTGTTTAATATAGGTATGATGTAGTCGAGGAACATGCCCCAGGCATATGGTGTCACGGCCGTACGCGAGCGGGCCCAGCCACTCGCCACGCGCCGCGTGACCAACATTATATCAGCTAACCGGCCTCACCCCTCATCGCCGGCCTCTGTGCCTCGAACCATCCCGTGGCCAGGGGTTAGTGGTGGCAGACTCCGCCAGCCGAAACTAGGGTCTTACATATGGGCGGTGCTTTAACAATGAACAGGTACGTATCGACTATCGACGGTTTACCAGAGCTGAAATTTCTTATCAAAGGGATGCTGGCGCTCTTCGCTTGCTGCTGTCTGAAATATGATCTGTTGCTGAGATGAAAAGTGCTTTAGTTAATAGATAATTCGCGATGAAATATGAAACCACTCTTTCTTTGTGAATGGGAACGAAATATCGACACGCGTCCCGCACGTTTCCGAGTCTCTTGTAGCTGCTCTTTTTAAAGTGGAAAAGGTTTCAATAGAATATTCTGGATCAGTTTCGAATATCAGATATATTCTAAGAAACATGTGACAACGTTTATTGCCTGCTGACAAACTTGCATTTGCAGTCTCTCGTGCCGTGACCTGGTGTTGCATGCGAATTGAATATGGTTATAAAGAACATCTCGAAATGCATCACGCAATTTCAGCTGGGCAGTAGTCTGATCTTTCACGGTACGTTTTGTTTGAACAGACCTCCCACCTCCTCCCATTGCTGACATTCTTATACCGAATAAATAATATAGCGCCAACATTTGCCTACTTTCGTCGCAGGTGACGGGACCAGCCGTTTGAGAGGGCGAGCAGGGAGGTAGTGCGACAGCGTTCAACTGGTGCGAGGGCCGGTTGCTGATCAGGGAGCGAAAAGGGCGAGCCGGACAGCGACAATTAGCAGCAGCGCCGGCCTCAGACGGTCGGCCACTGCCGTCGTGCCACCTGCCGCCGGGTCCGGCCGGCGCGGCGCCGCTGTGGTGCTGGTACTAGTGCTGGTGGTGCTGGCGGCTGCTGGGGTGCGGCCTCTTGGTGACGGCTGTGGCCGCTTGGTGACCACGCTTGGCCGGCGCCGCTGCTCTGGCCGGCGCGGCGCCGGCGTCAAGATGGCCTGCCGCGACGGTGGCGCCGTCGGTCGCGCCACCTCGCTAAGCCGAACGTATCCCTCGGCCCGAGAGATGGCGTTGCTGGCGATGCACGTGTACAGGCCGGCGTCGCCGGGCTGGAAGTCCCGGATCCGCAGGGCCACGTGCGTTTTGTGGCCGCTATGCGTTTCCCGCATCACATATTTCAACCTGAGAAGTTGACGGTGCACGGGTCAGTTTCGGCTACGTGCACGGGTGCAGTGCACCATCACACCGTTGAAATGTCCCACGCTGCTCCACAATGCCTGCCTTTTCCAGGTCGCTGCGCGGCCCGCCCCTCTATCCTCAATCGTCACTGTGTTTTAAATCATCTCAACCCCACGTGTTGCCGTGACGAGCTGCGGCCGTTTGTGTGATCTTGGGCGGGGCGCCCTGGCGCGAGTCCCACCCCGGCGTCCGCACATGCCCGGGGGAGGTCCCATACCCCTGAAATGGTTTATAGTGCCGAAAGCACTCGAATTACGAGCAAGCCAAACCACTGTGCACGACACTTTGGTACATCTAACTAGCTAGTATGGTGTATAACTTCATGTACCGAACTTGCATCTCGGAAGGGAAACGTGTCCTGGTGGTGATGTGAGCTGGATAGGTACTGATCATTTTCTGAAAAAGTACGTGCCCTAAAAGTACCTCTTCACCCAGTCACGCCTCTCCACACAAAAAAGTCTCTCCACCTGGGATAGCCTCGCGGCGTGTCAGCATCTCTGGGTGTTCCCAGTGCCGGAGGAGTCCGTGACAAAGTGCATGAGTCCCGTGCGGGCCGCGCGGGCTGCCGGCCGCGCGGCGGTGGAGCTTACTCGTCCGTGTCCAGCGCCAGGCCGCCCTTCAGCCAGTAGGTGGACGGCAAGGGGGAGGCCTCGATCTGACACTCTAACGTGACATCCGAGCCGCGCGGCGCCCCCAGCATCTGACTGGAGATGCGCACCACAGGCGCGACTGCGGGAGGAGGCCTCGTCAGACAACGCACCGGCTGGCGGACGAGCCGCGGCAGGAAATGTCACCGACTGCGGCAGAGGGAGGGCCACCAGCTAGCACGCCCAGTGGCGCTTGCCGATCACGGCAGGGACCGCCAGCAGACATTCGCAACACCATTCAGTCGCTACTACCATTGACACTGCTGGAATCGGACCGCATGGTAACGTCGGTTTTTGTAACTTTTTGTCGTTATTGCAATGAGATGAGACAAATCCGCATAGTCGGTCAGATCTGGCGTCGATCGTCGCCGAGCACGAACACAAGGACATCCACGTTTGTGTACACATTCCATACCAGCAGCGCATCTTAAGAGCCTAAACACGTTCCCCAAAATGTGCTCCGTGGTGGATTCTCTTCACCACGGTTGGGTTTTCCACGGCACGCCATGTTCATGTCTCTGAACACACAGGACAAGCTCGTGAGCTTAAATGGGCCTTTTATGCGAGTGACCACGCATCTCTGTCGGCGCCTGATTGCTCGCGGGTGGTGGAATTCCTGCTACCGCGCCAATTGTGCCTCATCTGTATCAAGGGACTCAGGTTGTGCCATCTGTATCATGTATCCGTGTCCGTATATCCGTAGGAATTCAGGTGTGTCATTGCTGCCTGCGTCGGGTATGCCCCAGCTGTATCAAGGGATTTAGGTGAGTCACTGCTGCTGGGCACTGGTGTGTCCCAGCTGCATCAATGGACTCAGGTGTGTCACTGCTGCTGCCACCGGGTGTGTCCCAGCTGTATCGACGGAGCTCAGGTGTGTCACTGCTGCTGCACCGGGTGTTGTCCCAGCCAGATGTATCAAGGACTCAGGTGTATCACTGCTGCTGCGTCGGGTGGCCCCAGCTGTATCAAGGGACTCGGGTGAGTCACTGCTGCTGCGCCTGGTGTGTCCCAGCTGTATCAAGGGACTCAGGTGTGTCACTGCTGCTGCGCCTGGTGTGTCCCAGCTGTATCAAGGGACTCAGGTGTGTCACTGCTGCTGCACCGAGTGTGTCCCAGCTGTATCAAGGAGCTCAGGTGTGTCACTGCTGCTGCGCCAGGTGTGCCGGTGCCCCAGCCGTCCTGCTGTGTCCCTTCTCGCGACCCCGAAGCTGCCGGCCGGTGCGGCGCGTCGGTGTGACCCAGCCTGTACGGTGTCGGCCTCGGGCTCCGCCTGCGGGCACTCTCCCGACCAGGGAAGCCGGCCGTGCCGGACGAGCTCCATGAGCTCCGCTCGGCTGCACGCGTCACTCACAGGCCACGTTCACCATGATCCTCTTGCTGATGGCCGGCGGCACCTCGTTGCTGGCGATACAGAGGTACGCGCCCGAGTGGTGGCGCGTCACATGCACCAGGTGGAGCCGCTCACCCTGCAGCTCCGCTGGCAGATGCGGCGAGAGGGTGCGGATCAGAATGAGTTGAAAGACACACAGATGAAAGCCGCAGCATTTTGAAGACACCAGGCGCTACGCCACCACATGGAGCGCTAGCTTAGAACGCTCATCAACCTCACCGTCCTGAAACGCACTCCATTCGACCTTTTTGACGCCATACCCGGCGTGAGTGCGCCTGGCGGCTGCCCTGACCGGCTGCCGTGCCGGCGGGCTCACCCGTCTGGAGGTGCGCGTGCGGCGCCGCGGCCGGGATGTGCCGGCCGTCCTCGCGGCGCCAGCTGATCCGCGGAGCCGGGTCGCCACCGGCGCGGCACGTCAGCGTCACGTTCTGACCCGCGTGGACGCTGACGTCACGGCTCGTGCCGGCGTTGTCGAACATCGGCGGGACTGGGAACAGACGCGAGCCGGGCACGCGGACGCCGCGATGGAGGCGGCGGCGGTCCGTTGCCGTCGCTGGCTGAGAGAGCTAGGTGGAAGACCATTTTGGTCGCGAATCTGCTGAGTACCTTACAACGGTGGTAGGTAACTTCCTAGCTCCATGGTGTAACGATGAGATTTGGTAGACCGTGTACCATTGGTAATGGTGCTGATGGTCTCAGGGTGGGGGCCGCGACAAAGACGGCGGCGAATATCATACAAAATGCATTCCAAGATCGGCGAAGGGGTGGTTGTTTTAAAGTAGCTCCTCGCTGTCTTCACGTGCGATAAGTAAGACAATGCTGTGCCTTACTGTTTGCCGCGCCAAAATCACCACCCCAGGACAACAAACACCGGGACAGCATAGATGACCATTATGCCGCCGGGTCCACGTGAGGGTGTTCCCCAGTGGCGCCCCCTGCCGGGTAGTCCGCCCCGCCCACAGCCAGCCCGAGGCCGTCCCCATCACGCACCTCGCACGGCGATGCAGCCGATCTGCTTCTTCATCAGCACCGTGTTGATCTGGCACATGTAGCAGCCGCCGTCGGAGGGCTGCGCGCGTCGCACGTGCAGGCTCCAGGCGCGGTGCTGGTCGTGCGTCATCGAGATGCGCCGGTTGGTCGTGATGGTGCGCTTGTGCAGCGTCAGGATGGTCTGGGTGTCGGCCTTCAGCCAGCCCACCTGGGGCCGGTCAGAACGCCGTGAAAGGCCAGCCGACGCGGCCTGGGCGCGGGAGGCCCCCAGATAGGGGAATGCCCGCTACTTTTCGTAGCTTATTTAGCATCAGTTCACTAATAATTCAATTTATTTACAATTATATATGCTATAATTAATTGACATCTTATAAATAAGTTGTATATTTATATAATATATAGACCATATAAATAAATCATAATTATATATATATATATATATATATATATATATATATATATATATATATATATGTATATAATATAACAATTAAAAAATAATAATTCACACACAAGTCACAAACAATTACTAACTAAATAATAGCAATCACTCGACAGCCCAGTGTCAGCGGAGATCACTCGTAAACAGGCTGAAGACGGCCGGCCCGGCGACAGATCCCAGAGACACCCCGAAAAGGACTGACAGTCACCGTACGGCCCCTTAGCAGCTGCTTCCGGCCGTCCATGCAAATACCAATATGTTGCGTCGACCCCTTGCTATCCAAGCCACGTGCAGGATGCGACTGTATGTCGTCAGGGAGGTGCCCAGATAGTGCAGACACCGTTCATGCCACTATCACTTGAATAACGCCCACAGAAAATACGGCTCGGGAACTGTCTGAATCACGAGTCGGATGTCCATACTAGTCTTGCGCGCCACAATACTGCAGCCTGTAACAGTGCTGGACGAGAAGCCACTTGTAGTCGACATCGTTGCGCGGCTATCGTATCCGTAGACGTGGTATAAAAAGCATGCCGCCTTTGCTTGGTGATGAAACAGCACATCCGGGAGCTGTGTGTCAGCCTTTGCCACAAACATCACCACCAATCCTATAGGAGGTGAAACTTGCGAAAACTTATATGGGCCTAGAACAGACCATACCACGTTTTGACACCAGTTCTTCATAGACTACGTTCATCGACTCCGTGTTGAGATCAGACGCGTTAACGAAGAACGCTGGTCTGCTCAAAAACATTCGAAGTCCCGCCGACGTTTCTCACACCCAACACAAGGGCTCTATTACCAACATCTGTGTGGGTCATAGATCTGCCTGGGGCCTGCATGACAAGCTGACGGGCGGCCTCACCTTGTAGGGCCCCAGGCGCTCCACACTGCAGGTCAAGATGGCCTCCCTGCCCTGGGCCACGGTCACATTCTGATCTCGCCGACGAACCTCGGCTCGTACTCGACATCGAAACCGCTGTGTCCTGCGGGGAGGGACGTCATCACCCGCTGCGTCCCTGCGGGGAGGGACGTCATCACCCGCTGTGTTCTGCGGGGAGGGACGTCATCACCCGCTGCTGTCTGCGGGGAGGGACGTTATCACCCGCTGCGTCCTGCGGGGAGGGACGTCATCACCCGCTGTGCCCTGCGGGGAGGGACGTTCATCACCCGCTGCTGTTCTGCGGGGAGGGACGTCATCACCCGCTGTGTTCCTGCGGGGAGGGACGTCATCACCCGCTGCTGTCCTGCGGGGAGGGACGTCATCACCCGCTGTGTTCTGCGGGGAGGGAAGTCATCACCCGCTTAGCCCTGCGGGGAGGGAAGTCATCATCCGCTGTGTCCTGCTGGGAGGGAAGTCATCACCCGTTGTGTGCTGCGGGGAGGGAAGCCATCACTTGATTATGAAGGTTTGCCGGCAAGCCTACCAGATGAATGGCATTAATTGTTACAATTAACATTACATTCCCGGAAATGGTCAATAGGGCCGTGAACGTTGTGATTAAATCGATAGAGTCATGCAGCGTGATCCCAAAAACAAACAAAAATTGCTTACAGTGTCTCGAAATTGACCTCGAAATTTTTGTAATTGCGTCTCGGTAAGGGTCAAACCCCGCTTTATTTCCTGAACTAAATACCTCATATTGTTCCAAGTTACACTTGTCTGCCATGAAAGAACGATGAGAAACTGTTCCCGCATTTTTCAACGCCAATTTCTAGCGGTTCATTTCTCTTTCGGTCCGTAAATGTGAAGGTCTGCCGGTTACCACCCCTCAAGAATTCTGTTAATGGTTTCCTGACCGTGTCGCACATCGGAAAGTGGTCTTTGGCCACGGACGGTGCGGTCCATTTTCGACTTCATGGCCTGCGACAGCCAGGCACTGACCTATCACTGGGCCAGCTCAGCAGCAGTCACAGCTGGCGACAGAACTAGCCTGATTGGCAGGGCCAGTCTGAACTCCTGACAGAATGGAATGACCCCAATTTTCCCCAGGCAGTTTCATCCCCATCTGTCCACAGGTTCGTCCTGATCTCTCCCCAGATCCGTCCTGGACCCTTCACGGGTTCGTCCCGATCTCTCCAGCCGAGGTGTATCCCGATCCATCCGGTCAAGCCCATCCTGACGCTCTCAATCAGGAGTGCCCTGATCCACCCAGTCAGACAAACAGGTTATATTACACAGGGCTCAGGTACCACACAGGTAATTACCGCTCAAGACAGGCCTATTTTCGCACCAGGTAGTGATGTGCCGGTGCTCAGTAAAGGCATCGCTCAGTGATGATCCAGTGTTCAGTGATGGCACCACTCAGTCCTTCAACGTAATTTGTCCAAAGGCAGGACAAAGGTAAAACACTTTCGACAGGTGACGGTCTCCCTCAACAAGTCTGAAAATTTATCATCAGACAGATGGAACGCTACAAAAAAAGCCTCCAAAACATCCCGCAGTCCCCTGGGCCGTCAGCTTCGGACTGGCCTCGGGGCCCCTCTGAGGCAGCTTCTGATCCCCAGCGGGCGCCTCGGCACCCGACGACCCGAATCAGCGGGCGGATTACGGCCGGCAGGTCGTTATGACACGCGGCCGTATCGAGCCAGCCGGCGGTGCGCCCCCATCGGCCGTGTTTACTTATTCCGCCGCCGGCCGGCTATCTCGGCCCGCTCCCACCGGAGACGCTTATTATCGGCGATTTTCATTATCTGCTCGGGGGTATGGGAGAAAAATATTGTTGCTGGCGCCGGACAATTGAGCGCGGTGGCTTCCATTGCGGGCGGGTGTTTGGACGGCGCTGGTCGGCGACGGGCATTGTGGCCGGTAATAAGCCAGCACGGCTGCGTGGGGCGACACCCCAGCCTGATTATCAGCTCATTCCGGGCGGCTGGTGCGGCCGGCCGAGGCCTCACGGCCGGTCGGCGGTGCTCACACGTCAGCACCTCGGGGCAGGCGGGGTCGCGGCGGCCTGTTGCGCTCGGTTCGGAGCGGTGGCCAGTGGGCTTCTAAAGCGGAGACAGGCCGCTGAGCCCCCCCCCCCCCCCCCCAGCGTCATCGGAGTGGTGTTCGGCTCAGCGGCTATAGGTACGCAATCGGCCAGTCATAATCGTCTCCCTAGTGTCACCAGACAGGTATTGATCGCATCCCTGGTGTTATCATCTCACATTGTGCGGAGATTAATGCGCTTCTGCACGCAGCGATAGAGACGTTAGAATATTCCGTGGATAAATATGCATTGATATTCGTGTCCGATCGATGTAAATGATAGCATTCTCGGTATCCAATGAACTTCTGTTGTCGGCAGTGGTCGTTTGCGACAAGATAGCTTCCTTTTTCAGCACAGATTTAGTTCAACCTTCGGGCTCGGCACCCATGTCTATAAGTTAAAGAACAAGCCAAATAAAATAAATAGATAGAGGGAGAACATACACTCGATAAAAACATCAGGTGATTGATGCTTGTTTCTTTTTACGAAATAAAGCATAAAGTTGGTTTCACCTGCTGGATCCATTCAGCCCAGAGTTAAAGTTTTACACCATCCAATTTAGGGGGGGGGGGTAGAGATACCAAGGCGATCATTACCACATTATTCAGATTGCATGGCTGAGGGGGAGGGGGGCGGCAGATAAACATGTCAGCCATGTCTATAGCTACAGTGGATCTCTAAATTACTATTTGCGACCCGCCAACAATGCTTAAAGTTCTCAGCTCACGCAATCATCGTTCCTAAACAAAACCCTCTTGTCAAGGCACAAAGAACGGGTGGCAGTTGTCAAGCGCTCTGTCTAACACTTCTAGACCTTGGACCTGACTCCCTGCATGCTTACCACTCTGCAATAATTCCGGAGATTTCCGCCAGCGTGTTGCGCCTGGGCTATAAGGATGAGCGTCTCCAAAGGAGTCGTTACATTTCACGAGCGACCTGTCGGCGCGGCGACCAACGGCACTGCAGGGAGTGTCGCCTGATGAGCACAGGCACTGTGACTGTGCGAGTCGCACACTAGTCGGCTGTCGGGGGCAGCACACCGGCCGGCTGTGGAGGGTCGCACACTGGCCGGCTGTCGGAGGTCGCACACCGGCCGGCTGCCGGGGGTCACACATCGGCCAGCTGCCGGGGGCAGCCCGCCGGCCGGCTGCCGAGGTCGGTTCATCGGCCCGCAGGGCGGTTGTCGTCAGCGGAGCTTTGCGACGCGCTTAGCCGCTCAGGCTGCATGGCATCGCCTACCTCTCACCCTGGCAGGGGGGGGGGGGGGCGGTACCACAGAGAGTCGAATTCCATACCTCTGATACCTCTGGTCTCCTATGATCACCAGCGGTTGCTCGATATAGTGTACTACCGTACTCAAGTGCATTCTAAAACCGGATAGAAGCCCGTTGATTTCGCATAGAGGCGTGGAGACAGGCTGGCAAACAACTCTTACGCATTTCGAGATGATCATGCGCCCCCACATTACACACTTCACCCATGTGACCATCGCTACGATGCACCCCCAACCCACTCGCGGGCTGCGCATCACCGACCACCATCACCACCCTCTGATCAGCTGCGCCCCGCGTCGGCAGGCACGGGCGTGCGGCGTGCGGCCGCCGACCGTCGGCCGTCCCGACTGGCGGCCGCAGTGACGGCCGCCTGTTGACAAGTGCGCACGGGCGACGTCCGGCCGCCGATCACACCGGCGGGACGACCGCACCTGCCGCCGCCTGTTGTGACGGCCGCTCAGGCGCACGCAGATTGTTTGGCCGGCGGCGGAGCGTGTGTCAGCGGCCGTTAGTGCCGCCCGGACGGCGACGACGACACTGCCGCCGCCCGGCTAATTAGCGCCGCTCCCGCGGCGGCTGCCCGACGCGGTCAGGCGCCGGCGCCGCCTACGCGTCCGAGCGTGCCCGGGGGCAGGAGTGGCGCAGCAGCAGGGGGGGAGGGGGGGGGGGGCGGCAGGCAAAGAGAGCAGTCCCCCGCCCCCGCAAGAATTTTGGGGAATCCTTTTTTCCAAACTAAAGGCATTGTAGCCACCCGTGGAATGCCAATATTCAGATCAATAATGCTCATAACTGAGCTAGATAGCATCCAATCGAGTCCAGAAGACCTATCAATCCATGCGCTAGATGGATAAGCGCATTGAAATGGAAGAAGTGCAGACAAATAAGTTTGCTTTTTACTTCTGTGAGGCTTATTTTGTGATACATTCGATGCGAAATAGGATTTTGATACAAATTATAGAATCATGTATTACGTAGCGGCTGATTGGGCCGGAAAGGCTTTCATGTTTTGAAAAAAGAAATTTGTGGTAGAGTTAGATTGAAAAGGTGTGGATTGCATTTGATCGCAAATTCTGCAAGCAGAATCAATAAAGAAGCTGCTTTTAACTTCATTATAACTTTTCCTCTGCGATCGTTTTTACTCGAAGTGACCTTTGAAATACATTTGATCGCTATGGGCGGCGCAAGACTTTTTAATATCTGTGAATGCTATAGGGTCATTTCAAGAGCCTGGCAATAATTAGATTACACAATCATGTAAGTATATCCCATTATATTATAATGAATGCAATCAATAATAATCTTAAGCTGTCGCCTTATTCAAATCAAATGACACGCACGAAAGGGGCAGCCCCCGTCGAAGGCGCCTGCGTGGGCTCAGGCCACCTGTTCATCCACTGACGCGCGCCGGCGGTCAGGCAGAGGCGCAGCGCCACCCGGCCTCGCGACTTAGCGCACCGGCACACCATGAGATCGGAAAGACATCGAACAATCGCTGACGTTGAACGCAAGGGACCATTTTGAGGCGGAGTTAGGCCTGCTTGGGATTCTGGCGGGCGGGTTACACGTGCAAAAGCCATCCCTCCGCACGTGGCAGAGACTAGGCTGGAAACAAAATTTTAAGTCCTCATTTCAGCATTTCTTAATTGAGTGATTGTTGTTCGTTTTTTACCGAGCGATTAGTTCGTCAT